TCTCTCATCTACTCTTAACTACAACGCGTGTGCTTTCGAATATAACAGTTGCACACTAAGCTAACGATATACTTCAGTGGATTTTTGCATGAGCCACTCTGAAAAGATCTTATTTGCAGTCTGATGTATATTAACCTGGCATTTTAATGGCTGGCAAAGAGTACCTTGCCATTTTGTGGATTGAATTTCCTAAAATAATAATAATATTAATAATAGATTGGCGCTTACACATATGTTCGTGTTTGGCCGAGCTTCTCCTCCGATTTGTGGCGTGCGCCTTGATGTTGTCACACAAAGCGGAGGGACCTACAGTTTTACGCCGACTCCGAACGGCGAATGTATTTTTATGAGAAGCGGTTTTTCATGGCATACATACACTCGGAGGTTTGCCATTGCCTGCCGAGGGGCGACTGCTGTTAAGAAAAATCTTTTTTCTAATTTTTTTTGCGATGTTGCTTTGACCAGGGCTTGAACCCAGGTGCTGCGGAGTGGAAGCACACACTGCTTACCACTACACCACAGCGGCCGCTGTATGAATTTCCTATAGCTTAAAAAAAAGCGGGAGACAGAAGACACATAGTCATACGAATTGCGAATTTTAGTGTGTGGTTGCCCATCGGCTATCAGTCGCCAAGGCGCATCCATACAAGGTGGTGTCAATTACATATAAGTAAAAGTACCGTGTAATTTGTTATTGCGTTTTGGAACATCAGGATGTCAAAACGAAAGGGAATATGAGATAATTTTCGTCATTTCGAGACAAAAATATCCAATCAGCTGTTCAATCAACACCACCTTGTATTGATGCGCCTAGTCAGTCGCCATGCTATCAGTCGCCATACATAATAGGGCCATTAAGAATATCTTCACCTCTTCTGTCAACAGTAAACACAGCAATTTCTCCAGATGTGCTGTGCGGCGATCCGAAATGCACACCAGATACCAGAAGTAGCGTGTCACTTTGGTTAAATTGTGAAAATTGGGCGTATTTCCAGCTGAACTGTTTCATATTGTGCGAGTACCTTTCCGAACAAGGATGTGTTGAATTCCAGATCTTTCATCAAAGAAAGTTGACATAGTTAGTAAAATATTATCTGTGTTCTCGTCCCTTGTAATATACGTACGATTACGTAACCATCTTTAGAACAGGTAGCAAACATTTCTCCATTGTGTGAGAAACTCACATGAAGGACCTGATGCGTATGACCTTCAAGACGCTGCGCTTGAACATATGGTATATTCCAGCTCAGACGCTTATATTCACTCTTCCACGACTCTGTTCCTATATAGGTTAGACCATTAATTCCAAAATAGTACAAAGAAACTGTAGGTTAAGACAATAGAATACTTTACAAAATGTTTGACATTACGGTAAGACCTTGGAATATGTTTCCAGCGGTTTTTTTAATAGATTTAAATTGGAGTCAAATGTATGTATGTGCATACGTACCTGGTTTAAGTCTTATAATCGGATCTATTTTATAATGCAGAACAAATTTTTGTTTCCACATGAGCTCATCGTTGGAGACGTTCCACCATCGCTTACATGTAGCCCCGGAATTTAATAAGTCCCTTATTGGGAGCATCCAATATATCCGAAACAATATAGGTTCTGGGAGTGACCACCATTCGCCAATCCCTGCAGCGCTGCTAAAGCTATTTTCAATGTCATTACTATGACTTTCTACCTCCATATAAGAAATTCCAATTTCCGCAAAGAATACTTTATATCAAAAAAACATGTTTTGACGAAAGTTCGTAATCGTAAAACCTGGAATCAAAGAGCTCTAGTGCTGAAAAATTAAACAACGTAAAAGACGCAAAAAATAGAGGTGGGTAACTCAACTCAGAGTTGAGTTATTGAGTTGATTCCTATAAGTGAATCGGTAACTCAGACTCCCTGTCCAAAAAAAATGTAACTCAGTAACTCAGTTGATGCCGTAGGGCTCACATGAATCAATTGAATCATAGTGGCTCATATTTGTCCATATAACTCTCTCGCTTCGCCACAGTGTTTAGCATGGCAAAGTCTTGCATTTTGTTTTTGCACGAGGCGAATTTATACAAGGTGGTGGCAAGAATACAACAACAACAACCACATGTATTTTGTATTGCGGGTGTTATGTCAAATCTCACAAATTCCTATAATTTCGTTTTTTTTTTAGTTTTTCTCGAAATATGTATGTATGTAATATATATAAAGATGTGCATATCAAATCAATTGCCTTTCCAACCATATCCACATTTTGAAATTCGGTACAATAGGTTTCGAAATATAAGCTTTTGAAAATATTGAAAATTCCACCTTTACCCTCCCCCTAGCAACGCCCTATTAATTTGCACACAAAAAAAATTACGCCTTTCAAATCAGTAGAAAGGAGCTGACCCCGCCCACTTTAAAGTTTTGTTTTATCTCAACGGCCGCTATACCGCATCTATGCCTCAAAACGAGTCTACGATACGAATGAGTGTAACATACAAAGAGTCAAATGAGTTAGTTGAATGAGCTGACTCCTTAAAGTGAGTTGGAGTCATTGAGTCAACTCCTATAAATTTGCTGAGTTACCCACTCTTAGCAAAAAACACCTTTCACTAAGCACTGACCAAGGCGAATTTATACAAGGTGGTGTTGATGGCGAATTTAGATCTTCGCCGCGGTACCTCTTCTATCGCTCTGTTGGGCGATGACAGCTGTGCGTGCCAAAGGTGGCCGTATTTTTTTTATTTAATAACAAAAATCACGAAAGCATTATGTTGTTATTTTTTCATTATCTTATTTTGAATGCAATCTTGCGATTTAAAAATCTAATTCTAAAGAATGCACTTTCCAAATAAATCTTTTTATAATCGCCAATTCTATGTGAATAAATTGTTCTCATAACTTAAAA